AGCACACACCTGTAGTCCCAGCTACTCCGGAGGCTGAGGTGGGAGGATCACATGAGTCTAGGAGTTTGAGGCTACAGTGAGCTATGATCATGCCACTGTGCCACTCCTGCCTGGGCAACAGAGCCACAAACCAAGGCCCTGTTCCTCCCCTACTCCCACTCCACCAAAAAAAAAAAGAAGAATGGTGTGTATTCACTGATACTCAAGGAATTTCTAGATTTTCCTGTCAAAATCAGTAGGCTCCATTAATTTATATTAAGTTTTGTGCTTTAAAATTTACAAAGTACTAGCATGCACATTATTTTATTGCCCTACATCCTTATAAGTTAAATATTGTTATTGAAAAACCTGAGGCGCAAACATCTGCCCAAAGATATATATTTAATAAATGGTTAGCTGAAATTCAAAGTTAGGTGCTCTTTTTCCAAATCCCTACTTCTTTTTACCTCTCCATTAGGGAACATAGTTCTGTTTGAAGAAGGGTGGTTTCTTTTTTTCTTTTTCTTTTGTGAGATAGGGTATCTCTCTGTCACCCAGGCTGGAGTACAGTGGCATGATCATAGCTCACTGCAGCCTCAAACTCTCAGACTCAAGCAATCCTCCCACCTCAGCCTCCCTATTAGCTGAGATGACAGGTGCATGCCAACACGCCTGGCTAATTTCTTTTACTTTTTTTTTTGAGATGGAGTTTCGCTCTTGTTGCCTAGGCTGGATTGCAATGGTATGATCTCAGCTCACTGCAACCTCTGCCTCCCGGGTTCAAGCGATTCTCATGCCTCAGTCTCCTGAGTAGCTGGGACTACTGCCATGCACCACCACACCTGGCTAATCTTTTTGTATTTTTAATAGAGATGGGTTTTCTCCATGTTGGTCAGGTTGATCTAGAACCCCTGACCTCAGGTGATCTGCCTGCCTCAGCCTCCCAAAGTGCTGAGATTATGGGTGTGAGCCACCGCTCCCGGCCTTTTCATTACTTTTTGTAGAGACAGGGTCCTGCCATCTTGCCCAGGCTGCTCTTGAACTCCTGGGCTAAAGTGCTGGGATTACAGGCATAAACCACCACTCCCAGCCAAGTGCAGTTTCTTTCTTTACTTCTTTGTTTTCTGCCACATCTTTTTACGTCTCTGAACACCCAGAACACATTTATTTCAAATAGGTGCTCAATTAATTACATTCTAGACTTGGTCCCTGTATAAGAAGCTAAAACAAACACACAATGACAATTCAGCACCTAGCTCTGAAGAGTCAACATAAAAACAAGACATTGTCACACACAGAGATGATGGAGGTCAGAAGTAGAGATCCTCATCAGAGACTTGGCTTAGGAAAGGAGACAGCTAGGGATGGGGACTGTGCCAGGCTCTCCACCCTTTTCCTGCCTGCTATACTGAGAATCTCATGAGATGGGCAGGGATGCCCTTCAGCTCTTCCAAAACCACTGGGGTTTGTTCATTTTTGGGGGGGGGGGGAAAGATGTGGCCAGTCGTGGTGTCTCAAGTCTGTAATCCCAGGACTTTGGGAGGCCAAGGCGAAGGTAGGGGGTGGGGGTGATCACCTGAGACTAGGAGTTCGAGACCAGCCTGGCCAACATGGTGAAACCCGATCTCTACTAAAAATACAAAACTTAGCTGGATGTGGTAGTAAGCACCTGTAATTCCAGCTACTCAGGAGGCTGAGGCATGAGAAGTACTTGAACCTGGGAGGCAGAGGTTGCAGTGAGCCGAGAGCACACTACTGCACTCCAGCCTGGGCAACAGAGCAAAACTGTCTCAAAAAAAACACACCAATCTGGACCATGCTCGCATAAGAGAAAGAATTTATCAGGCTGGGCACGGTGGCTCACGCCTATAATCCAGCACTTTGGGAGGCCGAGGCCGGTGGATCACGAGGACAAGAGATCAAGACCATCCTGGTCAACATGGTGAAACCCCGTCTCTACTAAAAATGCAAAAATTAGCTGGGCATGGTGGCGTGCACCTGTAGTCCCAGCTACTCAGGAGGCTGAGGCAGGAGAATTGCCTGAACCCAGGAGGCAGAGGTTGCGATGAGCCAAGATCGCGCCATTGCACTCCAGCCTGGGTAATAAGAGTGAAACTCCGTCTCAAAAAAAAAAAAAAAAAAGTTGAAAAAATGATATTTGATTGAATTCTTATGAACTGCTAGTTACATATGATTGGCAAATTTAAAGAATCAATCTAACACATCTAACATTACAACTTAGTTAAATTGACTGGGTGCAGTGGCTCACGCCTGTAATCCTGGCACCTAGGCAGGTGGATTGCCTCAGCTCAGGAGTTTGAGAACAGCCTGGGCAATATGGTGAAACCTCATCTCTACTAAAAATACAAAAAATTATCCAGGTGTGGTGGCTTGTGCCTGTAATCTGTAATCCCAGCTACTCAGGAGGCGGAGACACAAGAATCGCTTGAACCCAGGAGGCAGACACTACAGTGAGCTGAGATCATGCCACTACACGCCAACCTGAGCAATAGAGCAAGACTGTCTCAAAAAAAAAGGCTGGGTGTGGTGGCTCACGCTTGTAGTCCCAGCACTTAGGGAGGCCAAGGCGGGTGGATCACAAAGTCAGGAGTTTGAGACCAGCCTGGCCAATATGGTAAAACCCTGTCTCTAAAAAACGAAATTTAAAAAATAAGATAAAAATGATAGTAAAACCTTGCTAACTCAAAAACTTACTTTGGAAACTTATAGAGAGCACAGGGGTTAAAAGCATGGGTTTGAAATTAGATCAGTGCTTAGAATTTTTTTTTTTTTTTTTTTTTGAGACGGAGTTTCGCTCTTGTTACCCAGGCTGGAGTGCAATGGCGCGATCTCGGCTCACCGCAACCTCCGCCTCCTGGGTTCAGGCAATTTTCCTGCCTCAGCCTCCTGAGTACCTGAAATTACAGGCACGTGCCACCATGCCCAGCTAATTTTTTGTATTTTTAGTAGAGACGGGGTTTCACCATGTTGACCAAGATGGTCTCGATCTCTTGACCTCGTGATCTACCTGCCTCAGCCTCCCAAAGTGCTGGGATTACAGGCGTGAGCCACTGCGCCTGGCGGATTTTTTTTTAGACTTTCAACATGAGGGCTTGGATTTGGGTTCTACTACTTGTCAGTTGTTTTTCTAATTTCAAAGCCCATGCTTGAGCACATTGCTAAACCTAAGATCCTTTACCTGTAAAAAAGGAACAATCACACCTACATTTTAGGATTTCTGGGAGAATTAAATATAAATAATGACAGGCTTAGCACACTTCTTGGCACAAAGAATGTGCCAATATGTTGTAGCTATTATTAGTACAGAACAGGATCATTTTTCTTGGCATCAATTTCTACAGAATAATCCTATTAATGTTGGAAATGTAGGTGATTAAGTTGAATCCACACTGACACTCTGACTTAACCTGGAATTACATCTTTGAATAATCTTTGGGATCAGTTGGCTTATTTAACACTTGTCTCTAAGGTATAGAAAAATGCTGGTTATATGAGCTTTCTAAATTTAGGATTCCAAACCAATAAAAACTTACCAGTTATCCAAAAGAGACTGTGATAAGGTTTTCTATCACTCAGAATCTTTGACCAGTTACTTTTTTGTTTTTGTTTTTGAGATGGTGTTTCACTCTGTTGCCCAGGCTGGAGTACACTGATGCAATCTCGGCTCACTGCAACCTCCACCTCCTGGGTTCGAGCAATTCTCCTGCCTCAACCTCCCGAGTAGCTGGGATTACAGGCACCCCCCTACCACGCCCAGCTAATTTTTCATATTTTTAGTAGAGATGGGGTTTCACCATGTTGGCCAGACTGGTCTCAAACTCCTGACCTCAGGTGATCCACCCACCTCGGCCTCCCAAGTGTTAGGATTACAGGCATGAGCCACTGCTCCTGGCTGACCAGTTACTTTTGCTTGCACCAAGTTGATCATTCTCACCCCTAGACGAAAAACAGTATCAAAGCACTTTTGGTTGCAAATGATAGAAATTCAATTAATATTAGCTTAAGCAAAAAGGAATGCATTGACCTCTATGTTGCCAGAGGTCTGCTTCCTTCTGTTTGCTGACATCAGTGTGCAGATAGCTTCTTCCTGCACAGACTGTTGTTAGGACCATGAACAGCTTCAGGCTCATGCGTTCCTTCAGCTTGAAGGCTCAAGGAGAAAAAGCTTCTTTCTTTCTTAGTAGCTACAAATCTTAGATTTTTTTTTTTTTTTTTTTTTTTTTTTTTTTGAGACGGAGTTTTGCTCTTGTTACCCAGGCTGGAGTGCAATGGCCTGATCTCGGCTCACCGCAACCTCCGCCTCCTGGGTTCAGGCAATTCTCCTGCCTCAGCCTCCCGAGTAGCTGGGACTACAGGCGCGTGCCACCGTGCCCAGCTAATCTTTTGTATTTTTAGTAGAGACGGGGTTTCACCATGTTGACCAGGATGGTATCGATCTCTTGACCTCGTGATCCACCCGCCTCGGCCTCCCAAAGTGCTGGGATTACTGGCGTGAGCCACCGCGCCCGGCCAGATAATTTTTTTTTAATGAAACGTCTCGGCCGGGTGCGGTGGCTCACGCCTGTAATCCCAACACTTTGGGAGGCCGAGGCGGGTGGATCACGAGGTCAAGAGATCGAGACCATCCTGGTCAACATGGTGAAACCCCATCTCTATGAAAAATACAAAATATTAGCTGGGCACGGTGGCGCGTGCCTGCAGTCCCAGCTACTCGGGAGGCTGAGGCAGGAGAATTGCCTGAACCCAGGAGGCGGAGGTTGCGGTAAGCTGAGATCTCGCCATTGCACTCCAGCCTGGGTAACAAGAGCTAAACTCTGTCTCAAAAAAAAAAGTCTCACATATTTATTACTGAACCCAGCCACCAACCAACATGTTCATAACAGATCCAGAGAGGAAACTGTTCAAAATTCTCCAGATAGCAGTGACGTTTTCAGCTTGATTTGGTAACATGATTGTAACCTTCAGACAGCGTAAATATGTGCGCAATTTCGTGTAATTTCTTATAGACCCAGCTTGGTTCTTCTCCAATGTCTCCTTTTGGAGTTGTAACTGATTTTGTTACCAGTTTTCATCCTAATCCACTGGAGAATGGGACGATTTTGCTTTTGTTTCTTGGCCAGGAATTGCTTAATCCTGAAAGTCTTGTGAGAAGACACGGTGAGAAATGGAGTCAAGCACACACCACGATGGCAGAGAAAGGAAGAGAGGGTAGAGAAATAAATTTTAAAGAAGATTCTTAGTTTAGAGTAGGTGGGGCACTGTGGTCATCTCGCTAGGACCACATGGCCAGGGGAGGGGCGATTCCCCAAGAGGAAATCAAGACCTGATTCCTGACAAAAAGCAAGGTAGGTGGATTTCATCCCTGTGAGGCTGGTGGAGCAGGGCAGCTAAGAGGGTGGCCCTGAGGTTGCTGGGGGCTCGAGGGTGGGATGGCCAAGAGGCAGGGCTCAGTTAGTAAAGTTTAGTTTCAGAGATTTATTTGCACTATCCCTAATGTTTCCTTGGAGTAATAATTGAATTAACCACTTTTCTGTTTTCTTCTGTCCTCCATTTGTTTTGGGGGAGGTTTCGGAGAGATGTGCCTGTGCCTGCAATTAGTGTCCTCTCTTCTCTAGCTGTTTTTAACTCTGAGCAGTCCCTTTTGTATAGGGAATCATGTTAACTTTTATGTGCACCCAGACTGATGTAGCTTTTGAAAGATATATAGGAAGCACTACTGAAAGAACTTTTTTTTGAGGGGGCACGAAATGGATAAATTTGGATATCATAAAGGCTGTATAATTGCTTTCATGTGTTCTAGAGCTTTTCCTATTTCTCTAATGGGGAAGATTGTCAAATAATGAGAATTATAAGCATAAGCGTGCATGGCCAGCAGTGAAACAGGGAAAGCAAAGGGAGCATGTATTCCACTTCCTGACTATGAGATCTGTAGAGTACATATTTACCCAGGAGTACCTTTCTCTTTCACTTTTATATCTCACTCTTTACTATTAAAAAAATGTTATTCCAGTTAGAATGAATGAATTATATCTAGTATCTAATAACACAACACAGTAACTAAAGTCAATAATAATTTCATTGTACATTTTTTTAAAAAGTATAATTGAATTGTTTGTAACACAAAGAATAAATGCTTGAGGTGATGCATACCACATTTCCCCTCATGTGATAATTACACACTGCACCCCTGTATCAAAATATCTCATGTACTCCATAAATATATACATCTAGTGTATACCCACAAAAAATAAAAATTAAAAAGAAATTTTTTAAGAGGAATGGTAGAGTGAGAAGGTAAAACAAAGATGCTCACAGCAGATAGTTTGGGTTGGATTCCCCAAAAACGAAGACTTCAGCATGGCCATCTTGACATCTGTTAAAATATGCATTTATTTCATGAAACCATACGCAATGTTTCAAAGTGGCATTGAGGCCGGCCATTCTTGACTCAAGGGTATTCTCTATGCTAAGCTCCACATATGGTAAACATCTGCCAAAAAAAAAAAAAGTTATCCTCATATATTCTGCATCCTAAGCAGTAGTGTGTGCATAATTACATGAAAAAAGGAAAAATTATGTTTCCGTATTGAAAAAGCAAATCAGGCCGGGAGCGGTGGCTCACGCCTATAATCCCAGCACTTTGGGAGGCCGAGGCAGGTGGGTCACAAGGTCAAGAGATCGAGACCATCCTGGTCAACATGGTGAAACCCCGTCTCTACTAAAAATACAAAAAATTAGCTGGGCATGGGGGCGTGTGCCTGTAATCCCAGCTACTCAGGAGGCTGAGGCAGGAGAATTGCCTGAACCCAGGAGGCGGAGGTTGCGGTGAGCCGAGATGGCGCCATTGCACTCCAGCCTGGGTAACAAGAGCGAAACTCCGTCTCAAAAAAAAAAAAAAAAGAAAGAAAGAAAGAAAAAGCAAATCAGACCACTAATAAATAATAATCATATACAATTACATGAAAAAGTAACAAAGAAAAAATATTTCTTCATATTAAAAAAGCAAATCAGGCAATTAATAAATAGTAGTCTAAAAGTTCTTCATAAAATTTTGCCAATTGGCTCAGTGTGGTGGCTCACACCTGTAATCCCAGCACTTTGGGAGGCAGCAGTGGATAGATCACTTGAGGTCAGGAGTTCAAGACCAGCCTGTTCAATATGGTGAAACCCTTCTCTACTGAAACTACCAAAACCAGCTGCGTGTGGTGGCAGGTGCCTGTAATCCCAGCTACTTGGGAGGGTGAGGCAGGAGAATCACTTGAACCCAGGAGTTTGCAGAGGTTGTAGTGAGCTGAGATCAAACCACTGCATGCACTCCAGCCCGGGCAACAGAGCAATACTCTGTCTCAAATGAATAAATACATAAAAATAAAAATTTGCCAACTTCAAAATAAAAACAAAAGAGTTAACATTCTAGAAATAATTTCTACAATACTAAGGAAAAGAAAATAAAAAGAAGACATTGGCATTGTTTGCATTTGCAAATCACTATTGTTGGCTGAGTCCATTTTTCAAAGTGAAACTGCATCATGCTTGCAAGAAAAAATAAGTTATTTTAAATATTTTTAAATTACAAAAAGGGGGCCGGGTGCAGTGGCTCACACATGTAATCCCAGCACTTTGGGAGGCCCAGGCGGGTGGATCACCTGATGTTTGGAGTTGAAGACCAGCCTGACCAATATGGTGAAACCCTGTCTCAAAAATAAATAAATAAATAAATAAATAAAATTACAAAAAGGAAAAATCCTGTGTTTTTTGTTTAATCCCAATGCTGAAAATGACTTTTTTATTTTATTTATTTATTTATTTATTTTTTGAGATGGAGTTTTGCTGTTGTTACCCAGGCTGGAGTGCAATGGCGCGATCTCGGCTCACCGCAACCACCGCCTGCTGGGTTCAGGGAATTCTCCTGCCTCAGTCTCCTGAGTAGCTGGGATTACAGGCACGCGCCACCATGCCCAGCTAATTTTTTTGTGTTTTTAGTAGAGACGGGGTTTCACCATATTGACCAGGATGGTCTCCAACTCTTGACCTTGTGATCCACCCTCCTCGGCCTCCCAAAGTGCTGGGATTACAGGCTTGAGCCATCGCGCCCGGCGAAAATGACTTTTTTAACTCTTGATTTTATTCTTCAGCATTTTGGCATATGAGTGAGTAGAATACTGATGCCTCTCAAACTAGAAGGTTCTTACTGAGACTTCACTGGACTCCATAAACATGATCTCATCTTTCAGCTTGATTATATTCCAGATCTAGGAGTGAGGGTGAGTATATGATCAGGGAGCAAAAAAATGAAATATTTACATAAGCCCCATAATACAACTTTTTTTTTTTGAGATGGAGTTTCGCTCTTGTTGCCCAGGCTAGAGTGCAATGGCATGATCTTGGCTCACTGGAATCTCCACCTCCTGAGTTGAAGTGATTCTCCTGCTTCAGCCTGCTGGGTAGCTGGGATTACAGGCATGCACCATCACCACGCCTGGCTAATTTAGTATTTTTGGTGGAGACAGAGTTTCTCTATGTTGGTCAGGCTGGTCTCAAACCTCCGACCTCAGGTGATCAGCCCACCTCGGCCTCCCAAAGTGCTGGGATTACAGGTGTGAGCCACAGCGCCCAGCCTGATACAACTTTTTAAAACCTCAAAAAAAATCCGTAATGAAAAAGAGATGTATACATATGTATACGTGTGTGTGTGTGTGTGTGTGCGTGCGCGCGCATATATGTGTATTCCCTGTGGGATTACAGAGTCCAAATAGGGCAAAATCATAGAATATGGTGAAGAAGTGAGAAAAAAGTAGTCACCCTTTAGAATGAAAACACTAAAAACAATGAGATGAGCCATATGAAGATATCTTCCCAAGAGTCATCACACACAAAATTTGAAACCTTATGCTAATAACACTAGGATGTCTTCCTAAATCACCAAGATATTGCATAAAAATCTCATCTAGCTGTAATCCTAGCACTTTGGGAGGCCAGGGTGGGTGGATCACTTGAGGTCAGGAGTTCAAGACCAGCCTGGCCAACATGGTGAAACCCTATTTTTGTAAAATAAAATAATAAATTTAAAAAAAAAAAGAAAAAAAATCTCATCTTGAAGGCATCACATTCAAATGTTAACTAATTAATTAATATATAATAAACTGGCTGGGCGTTATGGCTCATGCCTGTAATCCTAGTACCTTGGGAAACTGAGGTAGGTGGATTACTTGAGGCCAGAAATTCAAGACCAGGCTGGGCAACATGACAAAATCCCATCTCTACTAAAAACACAAAAATTAGTTGGACATGCTGGTGCACACCTGTAATCCCAGCTACTTGGAAAGCTGAGGCACAAGAAGAGCTTGAACATTGAAGACAGAGGTTGCAGTGAACCAAGATGCATTCTAGTCTGGGCAACCGAGTGAGAGTCTGTCTCAAAAAAAAAAAAAAGAGGCCAGGCATAGTGGGTCATGTCTGTAATACCAGCACTTTGGGATGTCAAGGTGGACGGATCACGAGGCCAGGAGTTCGAGACCAGCCTGACCAACATGGTGAAACCACGTCTCTACGAAAAATACAAAAATTAGCCAGGCATGGTGGTTAATATATATGTGTGTGTGTGTGTGTACACATATAAAATTAATTGGCCCTGGAAATGTTACATTGCAATGATAGAAGATTTTGCAACTAGTGGGTTGAACTTTTTTTTTTTTTTTTAGTTTTCAATCAAGTTTTTAATGAAAGGATCGTAAAATAACAGTTTCTCATCACTGTACATTAAGACTGCACACTTCTGAATGGAGAGATCAGTCATTGGTGAATTGCTTTTCTATGACACTGGGCAGCTGCATAGCTGCAGTGCTGACCTGAATTTATACAAACTCTCAAGGGATGTGAACTGAATGTGATGAGTGACAGTGGCGGTGGCCAGTACAGGAGTGCAATCCTGGTGTCCCTCCCCCTTTCTGGGAAATCTTTTTTTTTTGAACAGAGTCTCTCTCTGTCACCCAGGCTGGAAGGCAGTGGTGCGATCTTGGCTCACTGCAACCTCCACCTCCTTGGTTCAAGTGATTCTCCTGTCTCAGCCTGTGGAGTAGCTGGGACTACAGGTGTGTGCTACCACGCCCAGACAACTTTTTGTATTTTTAGTAGAGACGGGGTTTCACCATGTTAGCCAAGATGGTCTCCATCTCCTCACCTCATGATCTGCCTGACTCGTGATCCACGTGGCCTCCCAAAGTGCTGGGATTACAGGCATGAGCCACCTCGCCATCCAGGTTGAACATCTTATGGTGTACTTCCAGAGTTCTTTTGAAGGAGAATGGACTTTTTGGGACGTACTGTAAGTGGTAATTAAGTAGAATCAAGTTATGAGAATCAGTTTTTTTCCTCTAATATTCTCAAAATATTTACTAAGTTCTGGCATGAGAATTTCAGTATCTTACCCATACCATTCCAATTTAACTAAATAGAGTATAAGTGTTGCATCTCATTTATAGGGTGTCTTTTATGGATTGATATCTCCACAACCAAGGTGAAAGTCAGGCTGGGCAATTTATTCAGTCAACATAATTAAGATATTTATTATTTATGTAATTTTGAGACAGGGTCTCACTCTGTCACCCAGACTAGAGTGCGGTGGCGCAATCATGGATCACTGCAGCCTCAACCTCCCTGGCTCAAGCGCTCCTCCCACTTCAGCCTTCTGAGTAGCTGGGACTACAGGTGTGTGCCACCATGCCTGGCTAATTTTTATTTTTATTTTTTTGTAGAAATGGGGTCTCCCTATACTGCCTAGGCTGTTCTTGAACTCCTAGCTTTGAGCAATCCTCTTGCCTTGGCCTCCCACTGTTCTGGGATTACAGGAGTAAACCACCATGCCTAGCCTTTTTTTTTTTTTTTTTCAAGATATGGGGTCTTGGCCAACACAGTGGCTTATGCCTATAATCCCAGCTACTCAGGAGGGTGAGGAAGAGAATTGCTTGAATCCAGGAGGCAAGGTTGCAGTGAGCCGAGATCACTCCAGCCTGGGTGACAAAGTGAGATTCATCTCCAAAGAAAAGAAATGGGGTCTTGCTATGTTGCCCAGGCTGGAGTACAGTGGCTATTCACAGGTGTGATCATAGGGCACTGTGGCCTTGAATTCCTGACTTCAAGTGATCCTCACCACCTCAGTCTCCTGAGTAGTTGGAACTACAGCTACTCAAGACGCTGAGGCGGAAGGATCACTTCGGCACAGGAGGCAGAAGCTGCAGTGAGCCATGATCATGCCACTTATCTCAAAACAAAACAAAATAATCTCAGCCTCAGGGAGCTTCTATTCTGGAAGATGGAAGTAAAATGCTTGAGTAACATTTAACTACATCTTTTCTTATTTGAAAAGTAGATCACATGCCATTAAAACATTAAAATAATCTCTAGATTGTCATCACAGATTGAATTCAAGAACACCTAGAAGG